CCCCCCCCCCCCCAGGGTTTCTCTGTGGTTTTGGAGCCTGTCCTGGAACTAGCTCTTTTAGACCAGGCTGGTCTCGAACTCAGAGATCCGCCTGCCTCTGCTCCCCAGTGCTAGGATTTAAAGGCGTGTGCCACCACCGCCCCGGCTAAGATTTTTTTGTTTTGTTTTGTTTGTGTGTGTTTTTCGAGAGAAGGTTTCTCTGTAGCTATGGGGCCTGTCCTGAAACTAACTCCTTGAACTCACAGAGATCCGCCTGCATCTGCTTCCCGATTGCTTTGGCTTTGGTAGCACTCAAAGGCATGCGCCACCCCTGCCCAGGTTCTTCTGAATATTCTTTTTTTTTTTTTAAATAGTAGGGCCATTGTAAAGGTTTTTAATAATAAAATTCAAACCTCTTAAGCCATTAAATAACCATTAGGCTAGGGAAGAACTTTCTGAACAGAACAATAGCACAGGACTAGCTCCAAGTTTCAACAGACGGAGATTACATGTAATTAAAAGTTTCTAAACCAGGCAGAGGTGGCACACTCCTTTAATCCCAGCACTCAGGAGGCAGAGTCAGGTGGTTCTCTGTGAGTTCGAGGCCAGCCTGGTCTACAAGAGCTAGTTCCAGGACAGGCTCCAAAGCTACAGAGAAACCCTGTCTTGAAAACCAAAACAAACAAACAAACAAAATATTCAGAATAAATAATTGGAAATATGTAAAGTATAACCCCAGTGCTTATCACTGTATTTTGTTTGGTTTGTCTTTCTTTTCCTTCCTTCCTTTCTCTTTCTTTCTTTGTCTCTTTCTCTTTTATTCCAAGACAGGGTTTCTCTGTGTAACTGGCTGTCCTGGAACTCACTCTGTAGGCAGGCTGGCCTCGAACTCAGAGTTCTGTTTGCCTCTGCCTCCTGAGTGCTGGGATTAAAGGTGTGCAATACCATGGCCCAGCAATTGATGTTTTTTAATATAAATTTAGAAACCACCTTACTGTTTATAGATAGCCAATGCATTATAATACACTCATATAATAAAATCTACTTATTGTCTAAATTAGGATACATCTTACTAATTGCAAGAATTATAGATAATATGTTTGAAAGTACTTTGTAAATTGGAAGTTTCTGCTTAAATACTGTTGTTTTTATTATTGGAATAACCAATGTGCCCCTCAATGATCTTGGAAACATGGAAAAGCTGATAGATAGTAATTAGATGCAGAACTCGTATCTGTTCTCATTCCCTGGGTCTTGGTGGCGCACGCCTTTAGTGAGTTCGAGACCAGCCTGGTCTACAAGAGCTAGTTCCAGAACAGGCTCCAAAACCACAGAGAAACCCTGTCTCGAAAAACCAAAAAAAGAAAAAAAAGAGGTTCTTAAGTTTAGTGTCAGAACTCTACAAGTACTCTTTGCAAGCCACAGTGACAAACATCCCCCCCCCCCCCAACGAAGCTACGCCTCCTAATCCTTTCAAGCAGTTCTGCTCCCTACGGATCATCCAGTCAAATAAATGAGCCCAAGGGGGCCATTCCTAGTCAAACCATCACAATAGTGCTATCTCCCCGTTCTTCTCCTTTCCTGGCTCAAGCCAGTCCAGCCACACTGACTCCAGGCTGTTCCTCTATGAAACCAGGATTCTCTATTTGCCTCAGGGCCTTTGTAAAGGCTACCTGTTCCTCTATCTGGGATACCCTTGTGCAAGCAGGCTCACCTTATCAACAGAGCCACACTTAATCAGCACTAATCCTTCAAACTCCTAATTTTCACTCCACACCACGTATCCAAGACACACTACCCACGTCCATCCATTAGATTTGTCAACTTCTTGAAGGCAGAGAGCTTCTTTGTTCTAGTCTTGCAGAAACCCTAGGGTTTATATCTAACACATAAGGGGTCAGTAGAGATTTTGAAGGGCTTAATGAAGAATGTTCGTCTGTAAACGTAAGGACTCCAACAAAAAATATTTCCTGCAATATTATCTATTGTTCAGGACGAATTTCTGCACCTAACATTAAAACAGCTGTTGCACCTACATACGTTCCCCCTCCCCCATTTCTTTTTGGAGACACCGTCTCCCTACGAAGCCAAGCTGGCCTTGAATTCAGCCTGTCTGCAAGTGACTACAGGTGGCCACTATCATGTTACACCTGTACTGGCAGAACGGGGAAAGTGGAGGTCTGATGCCAGCCTGGGGCCGAGAGGCCCGATCTCAAACAAACAAACAAAAAAACCTTTCAGAAAGCTTCTACGACTGAGACGGTGAGAGGACAGTCATCCAGCTCACTCGGGGACGCTGAGTGAGCCTCTCAGGATAGAATATTGGTTAGAAACGTGGTCTCCTAAACTGGCACATCAGCCACAGGGACTTTTCAACATCCATCTGCTCTCCAACTTCCTGATTCTGTTCTGGGGTGTGGCCCTGGCATCTCCGTTTAGAAAAGGCTCGTTCGATTGGCTTCCAGGTATGTAGCAACGTTGGAGAATCACCTTAATAAGCTAAAAATAGCTATTAGGAGACTTCTTTCTCACCGGAGGAAGCCGATACCTTTGAGATGTGTGTGTGTTGGGAGGTGGGGGAGTGGGGGTTCTGCCCAGCTGCTCTCCGGAGTCACAGCCCTCTAGAGAACACGGTCCATCAACACCTAGCAGACACCCAGGTGGTCCGCACCTCGTCGCTGGGAGGCCGCCGCGTCCAAGCGCGCGACAGGTGAAGCTTCCGCGGAGGCGCGCCCGTCGCTGGGGACGGCGTCGCCGCGGAGACGCTCGCTTGGGGACGAACGCGGGCCAGCCTCCTACCCTTGCACGCTTTCCTTCCCTCGTCCCGCACCGCTGCCCCTTCGTAGCTAGCAGCCAAACGCACGCCACAGAGACCCAGTGCCACTAACTTCAGGCTTTAAAAGCTCCTTCCGAGCTCCAGAGCCCCGACTCCGTCGCAACGCGCCGGCCCGAGGCGCGGACTGGCTTCGCCGACCGTTCCGCGGGCGCGCACGACTCGAGTTCCCGCCTCCCTCCGGAGGACGTAGGGGCGTGCGTGCGCGCGCCCGCCCCTCCCGCCGCGCGACGCGAGGGCGGGGGCGCCGCGTGCGCGCGCGCTCCCGTGTGTTCGCTTGCTCGCTACCTCGCTCGCTCTCGGCGGCCGCTCTCGCTGTGGCTGCGGCTGAGGCTGGGGGCGGCGGCGGCGGCGCGAGCGGCGGGCGGCGCGGGGCGGTCCGGCGGGTTCAAAGAGGAAAACATGGCGGAAAACAAAGGCGGCGGTGAGGCAGAGAGCGGCGGCGGGGGCAGCGGTAGCGCGCCGGTAACCGCCGGGGCCGCCGGGCCCGCGGCGCAGGAGGCGGAGCCGCCTCTCGCCGCGGTGCTGGTGGAGGAGGAGGAGGAGGAAGGCGGCAGGGCTGGCGCGGAGGGCAGTGCGGCTGGGCCCGACGACGGGGGGGTGACCGCGGCCTCCTCCAGCTCGGCTCCGGCCGCCTCGGCTCCCGCGGCCTCGGTGGGCTCCACGGCTCCCGGGGGCGCGGCATCGACGCCGGCCCCAGCTGCAGCGTCGGCTCCGGCCCCGGGTCCCTCGTCGGGGCCGCCGCTCGGGCCACCAGCCTCACTTCTGGACACCTGCGCCGTGTGTCAGCAGAGCTTGCAGAGCCGGCGTGAGGCGGAGCCCAAGCTGCTCCCCTGCTTGCACTCCTTCTGCCTGCGCTGCCTGCCGGAGCCCGAGCGCCAGCTCAGCGTGCCCATCCCCGGGGGCACCAACGGCGACGTCCAGCAAGGTGAGCAGCAGGCCGCACCCTGGTGCGGGTCTGTTGACGGGGGCGGGGGTCCTGAGGCTGCTCGGACGGTGCAGTGCCGAGAGGTTGCGGAGGCGAAAGCCACGGCCCCGGGGACGGTTACCAGAGAAGCTGCACCGCCGGAGATACGGGGAGGCAGAAGGGAGGGGTGCCGGCCGCGAGGGGCTGGGGGAGGGGATGCTGCGAGGGAGGTTTGAGGCGCTTCTGCAGAGGGTGGACTAACAGACAGAGAAGGGGTCTGCAGAAGCCGCCCCGAGAAGTGTTTTTTGGGGGAAAGGGCCTGGTCCGGGCGAGTTGGACGAGATGGGGTTGGGATGGATTGCTTCCGAGAGAGGAATTGGCCTGCTCTCGGTTAGGAGGAAGAATTACCGATTGAATGATAATAAAAGACATTGGAGACTTTGGGCAAAAAGAAGGCCCCACGCTGACATTGTGACGAGGAGCTCGGTAAGTGATGATAGTTGTGAGGGGCCGGCCTGCCTGCCAAGGGGAAGTCCTTGGATTTGAGGATGAAGAAATGAACTTGGAAGGGAAGAGTTGGGCTTATGTTGTTTGTTATGCATTCTTAGGCCCAAGTATTCAGGGCGCTGTGCTAGGACTGAATAAAATACTCAGGATTTCATTAAGTCTAGTAGGGGAAACCTTTGTAACCTGCAGCTGTAGAGGTGGATGCCATGGTTGGGGGTGTAATGGAGGGAAGGTGTAGGAAGCTCCCTGGTAAAGGAAGTCCTGGAGCATGTTTCTTGCTGGCTTGGATGATATTCCCGGCACAGGGCACTTTCTACTACCCTTTAAAGGACATGTGAAGTGATTGGTGGAAGTTAGATTGTACTAATGGGCTCAGTAGTTAAGGGATCTATTCTCCCAGTTTCTGAAACTGTTAGGTTTAGTTTGTTATGGATTTGAGATGCAGTATTGGAATTTTTCTTTTTCCTAGAAACATCTCTTGTGTAGTACTCTAGAAGGCTGTAGGTACCCAGTATGGAACAATGTTTCTATATAAAAATTAATAAATACATTAATGGGGTAGATACACCCTGCAATTAAGTGAGTTAGGCTTTATGACATGCTTGCTAAAAGCCTTAAAATTTCAAAGCTTTTAAAATTGATTTTGGAATTGCCGGGAAGGAATTGTGGATTATCCAAAGGGTGGATTGGGGTTTATCACATAGACTAGAAGACCTTTCTGAAGGGTCTCCTGTAGGCTGGTCTCAAACTCTAGTGTCTAGGATGGCCTTGAACTTCTGATCCTACTACTTCTGCCTTCTAAATTCAAGGATTATAGCCATGCACCACTACTCCTAGATTTATGCAGTGCTGGCTATAGTTGGAATTTTCTTTGGGGTGCCAACCAGTTCCCAAATAAAGACACGGAGACTTCTTATTAATTATGAACGCTTGGCCTTAGCTTAGACTTGTCCCACTAGCTCTTTTAATTTAACAGTTTCTATTCATCTTCATTTTGCCTCGGGGCTTTTTACCTTTCTTTCCTTCTGTGTGTCCCACTTGCTTACTTTCTCTGTGTCTGTCTGTCTGTCCCCTGTCCACTCCCTCACCCCAGCCTAAATTCCTACTCCTGCTTTCTTTCCTTGGAGGGAAGTCCCACCTATACCTCTTCCTCACTATTGACTGTTGAGCTGTTTATTAGACCCAATCAGGTGTAGTAAGCAGGCAAGGTGAAACAGCAATGCATCTTTATGTAGTTAAACAGATACTCTGCAACAGCTGGTGATGGAATCTGGGGTGTTATGCATGTTAGGCAAGCATTTGACAAACTGAACTAGCCCAGCTTCTGAAGAGTTTTTGTATCAAGAGGAAAAAATATTCAGATTTGTGATCCAGAAGAATGACTAGGGCACTTGGAGGAACAAGAAGAGGCAAGGCTGCAGGCAGGGAGACCAGATAGAATCTTGACATTAATCTTAGGTGAGAAATTGTTTGGAATAGGTACTAAAGTCTGATACCAGATATTACACAAGGGTACATTTGGTATTAGGGTAGGCATTGGCTTGGTAGATGTTGGCTTTCTGAGAAATGCTGAATTTGGGTTTTTCCCTTGGCCCATTTCCTAAATATTTGGAGAGATAAATTCTTTCTCCCTCCCTTCCTTCCTTCCTTCCTTCCTTCCTTCCTTCCTTCCTTCCTTCCTTCCTTCCTTCCTTCCTCCTTCCTCCTTCCTCCTTCCTCCTTCCTCCTTCCCTTTTCTTTTTTCCTCCCCCTACCTCTCTCTCTTTGAGAGACAGGGTTTCTGTGTGTAGCCCTGGAACTTGTTCTGTGAACCAGAATGGTCTTAAATTTAGAGGGTCTTCCTCTACCTCCTGAGTGTGGGATTAAAGGCATGCACCACTATTGCCTGGCCAAGAATAAAGTTTTGAGCAGAGTGTGATAGCATATATCTATAATCTCATCTCTTAGGCTGAGGCACTGGAATTGCTGTTGCATTCAAGATGAGCCGGGTTTACGCAGTGAGTTCACAATGAAACCAAATCTACAAATACAACAGCAAAACAAATAAACTAAAATTTGAGTTTTGATTGATGGAGATACTAAGTGAAAATAGATGTAAAGAGGATAACTGCTTATGATCCTTAAGAGCATAATAGGACACATGAGATTCAGTGGACACATGAGATTTAGTGTTCTTGTGAAAGCCTGTGTTAGGGGAGACATTTAGAAGGAACCAAAGATGCAAATGTATCTGACTGATTAGCTGAGGGACTGAAGTTACAAAGTTGGCTCTCTGAAATATGTTCGGGAGACAGAATAATCTGTAAATTCTTCAATTCTCTTCTCTCTTGTTTTTGAACTAAAAAAAGTAGAAAGGAATAAAACACTCTCATCTAAGTAATGCTGCTTTCTAAGTAGTTTTGCTGAGAAGTATCTAAAACAAATTGAATACTAAATCAGCCATTTTTAGGCAGACAGCCTAGAAAATATTTTGTCAGTAGTAACTTTAATATGTACCCTTTGCATTTCATACCACAGTTAAAAATCTGATTTTTTACTTGCTCATCTCTATTTCCTATTAGACTATTGCAGAATATGTGTCCAATAAATATGTCTTTTGAGCAAATAAGAATAATCTAAAAGCCAGGGGGTGATGGCACAAGCCTTTAATCCCAGCACTTGAGAGGCAGAGGCAGGTGGATCTCAAGTTGGATGCCAGCCTGGTCTACAGAGTGAGTTCCAGGACAAACCAGGATTGCAAAGAGAAACCTTGTTCCAAACAAACAAACAAACAAACAAACAAAAAATCATCTTCCTAATGCTTCAGCCTTTTAATACAGTTCCTCATGTTGTGATGACCCATAAAATTATCTTTGTTGCTACTTCATAACTGTAATTTTAATATGGTTATGAATTTGTAACGTGAATATTTCTAGCAATGGAGATTGATAAAGGTCATGACCCACAGGTTGAGAAACATATCTAGAGGGACAGGAGAGATGGCTCTGGTTAAGAGTACTGATTACTCTTAGAGATGACCAAAATTGGATTCCCAGCACAATGGGAAGCCATCAGGGGGCTTAACAGCTTCCTGTATTACTGCCTATAGCTCTAGTGTGGACACAGACATACAACAAATCTTTTAAGATATGAATCATCTGCAAAGCTTTATTAAATGTTGACTTAGGGATTTTTTTTTCAGAAATGTGTTCCATTTGAGATATGTAACTGTACCTTTTAAAAAAAAGGATTATATTTGGGATGTTTTGCCTGCATGTGTGTGCCTGGTGCCTTTGGCCAGAAAAGGGCATGAGATCCAATAAAACTGACTGGGAGCTACCATGTGGGTGCTGGAAATTGAATCCAGGTCCTCTTGAAGAGTAGCCAGTGCTTTTACTAGCTAAGCATCTCTCCATTTCTTTTATTTATTTATCATTATTACAGTTTTTTAATTTAATTACCTTTTTATTTTCAAGGGGGAAGTTTGGATTCAGGGCCTTATCATTTGAGGCAAGCTCTCTATTACTGACTATACCTCCACCTCGTGTATCTGCCCTTTTATTGCTGGTTTTGAAACAGGATCTCATGTAGCCCAGGCTGGCCTCAGACTTGCTATGTAACTGAGGATGGATGGTCTTTAACTCCTGATCTCCCAAGGACTAGAATTATAGGCATGTGTCACCAGATTGGGCTTTGTACACATACTTTTAACATGATCCTCGTGTGGTTCTGGTGCAGGTAATAATCTACCATACTTGAAGAACTTGGATTTGAAAATTTTAATTTTTATCTTGTGTTTTATGTGGGTGTGTTCACCATGTGCATGCAGTGCCCATGGAGGTCAGAAGAGGGTATTGGATTCCCTGGAAATGGAGTTACAGAAAGTTATGAGCTGCTAAGTGGATGCTGGGACTTAAACCCGTGTTCTCTACAAGTGCAGTAAGTGCTCTTAACCCTGAGCCATCTCTTCTGCTCCTGGATTTTAAGTATTTTGAGGAACAAGTTTAATTTAGTGTTAGAGCATTGGAAAATCAAGCCAGCTCATGCTTGTTGAATCTCAGTACTGAGCTTTTGAAAGTCCTTTTGTGGTTTAAAAAATGTTCGGTCTTGGGGCTGGAGAGATGGCTCAAAGGTTAAGAATACTGGCTGCTCTTCCAGTGGTCCTGAGTTCAATTCCCAGCAACCACGTGGTGGCTCCCAGCCCTGTACTGAAATCTGGTGCCCTCCTCAGGCGTGCGGGAATACTTCGAGGCAAAATGTTGTATACATAATAAATAAATCTTTAAAAAAAAATGTTTGGTCTTGGGGCAGGGCAGTGGTGGTGCACGCCTTTAATCCTAACACTGGGAAGGCAGAGGCAGGCGGATCTCTGTGAGTTTGCGGCCAGCCTGGTCTACAAGAACTAGTTCCAGGACAGGCTCCAAAGCTACAGAGAAACCTTGGGGGGGGGGGAGAAGACACGGGACTGGAGGACACACAAAACCAAAATCCTCCCCCTCCTCCCAACAAGGTGTCTTTGTGTAGACCTGGCTGTC